TATATACTTACAAAGAGAAAGTGTATATACCTTTCTCTTTCTTGTAAAAGCTTGACAAAATCATTCGTGACCAGATTTTCTAAATATAACGCATACATAACATTGCATTTATGGAATAATACTAGGAATAATCGGTAATCAATTTTATGTAATTCAAAACTAAACTTACGAAATACGTATATGTATGTGTAAAAATTAAAATATCTATGTATTTATAAATACGTGCATATGATAACAGAAGTATTTAATTTTTCAACATTTATCCTTATTTAAAAAAAACACGTCCTAAAGATACATAACGAAATGTAATTAAAAAGTAAATCACGTAAATAATTTTAAATATTTCAATTACATTTGATTATGATTTTGATTATGATTTAACTCTATCACGTTTAATTACTACCAATTTTTTTTCATTTTTTATCTATTACATCTTACACGTTGTTCATGTTGCAAATTAAATTCTACGACTCTAAAAAGGTCGTCAAATTTAATTTTAGTTTACCTTAATTATGTTGGGAAGAGTTAAATATTCTCTCCACGTGCCTTGGCCTCCACCAGCCGCAGTAACTCCTCTGTTTTCTATGGCGACTTGAAGCACGTTGTCTGCAAAAATTCCAGCTCCAGCTGTAAGAGAATCACCCATCGCAGCAATGACATCAATATCACCTGGTCTTAATTTATGCACCGATTCTGGCACTTCTGGCGACCGACTATCTAAAATTTATCGTCAATCAGACGGATTCCTTTCAAATACACATTGTTTTACAGTCTATTATTGTTTTAATAATAATTTGCTAACTACACAACTTGGAATCGATTATTCTTCAATGAAACCTTGAACTGACATGCAGTAATTTTTATATGGTGTAGTAATGATTGAAATAAAATCACACACACTTTTTAATTAAATAAACTTTACTCTGTAATAAAATTTTAAATTATTAAAATTGTTTAGATTTTTGTTATTTATTGTATATATATAATGCTGCGCAACAAATAATTTTGCTAAAAGAAAAATTCTAATTAAGTTAAACGAAACATTAAAAAATATTGAACTATAAGTAAAATGCCTTATTTATTTGTTATTAAAGAAAAATTACCAGTATAATTTAAAAGTTATAAAGCCTTATAACTTTTAATGACAATATTTTTTTATAAAAGTATATATTCATACTAACCTGTGAAGAGGCAAAATAATTATGAAAATAAATAATTGTTGATAAAAAAAAATATAAAATAAATTCTCAAGAACCTACCTGTCACATTACAAGGAAATGGAACATAATTGGGAATTCTTTTTTGCATTTTGTTTCTTTGTCTTGCTATTTGCAGATATTTTTCCTCCATTCCTGTTCTACCTACGAGAACAAATTGGGTGTTACAATTTACAAAGAAGATGATACACACAATATCACAATATCATTGCATTATAAATTATCTCTAAAAATAGATTTATTATACGAAATAAATGAAATCTATTTTTGGATTGACTTAATTTAATAAAGTACAGAATAATATAAAATGTGTACTCGTTCTGTTGATCAACAATACAAGAATAATCATAACTATCAAAAATATTTACTTTTTATCACAAATTTCTTCAGATAAATTCAATTTGTGAAAATAAACATAATATTTTATTAATTATGATTATTTTTATACATTGTAATTGGTTAAAATGATTATACATTTTATTTTATAAATTTATTTTTACACAATAAATTCATTTTTTTAAAACAAAAATGTATAAATTATACATTTAATATTGCTTTGTCAGTTTATTTCTTTTGATAAATATTTTTAATTTATTGCTAAAAAAGTTT